CTTTGATTCAGTCTGTATTTCCATAGCAGCAGAGCGTGGGAATGTTCCTATGAATAGTTCTAGAAAAAGCATTATACTGGCATTAAATTGCGCTTATCCCGTCAATATTCATGGCAAAAACATGAGTTTGGCCTGATTATAATACATTAAAAAAGTGTATAGAAAATTAGTGGGTTTCGAGTCTTCGTATTCGACATTTCGGTTTTAAATTTTACAGAATAGCGCAATAACAAATGGCAGGATATAGTAAAAGTATTAAAATTAATTCATAATAATGAATGAAACTTATGGCAAAACATAAAAAAGAGACTTGTCGATAAATTACAGTACATCAAAATCACGAGATAAACCGACGCAAACAAGTAGAACAAAAACGTCGGAAAACGTACCCTAATTCGCGAAATGGAATCGTCCAACATTTTTTTATCAGTATCTTGAACCACTCGTCGGCAACGCGAAGAGATTTTTATCCCCAACCACGCGTTGTAGACGGGTATACGCGTTGCTTTATTTTGCGAGGCTCCCTGAAATCTGTATATTATCGGTACCCTGAACAGTAACAATACAAAAGAACTATGCTTCTGCACTGTAATGCATAGGCCTATTTTAGTACACTAGTAGATAGGCTTTTCTTTTTCAATCTTGATTTCAGAATCAAAAGTATATTCCAATTTTTTTTTTCAATTAGTGGTGTAGAATAGTCTTTTGAGAACATTTTCCAGAAAAAAATTAATGTGGTACGACCCTCCGTTATGGAGTTATGCATTTTTAGATAATATGGGGACAATAATTTAGCCTCAAAGCTTATCTTATTTATGTTGGTTACTCATCACTTCAAGATGTCTACCGATTCGCCTGAACTGGTATCAACTTTACCGTGCAGGCTTGTCGGTTCGCATTAATGATAATGTATATGTTATTATGCTATTCAGTTGTTATTCATGAGTTCAAATTTAAAGGAATCGATGAGCTGTAGAGTTTTGAACAAAGCATAGACCTATTTACAACCACTGCATTTATAATTTCTTGTATACAGGATGGAAAATTAAGAAATGTCGGGCTATATCATTCCGCGTATATCTGTAAGGGACTGGCCGCTCCACTTGGAAGGCAGCGAAAGCCACAAAAACTTTACAGGCATTTATCAGAATTAAAGTTAGATTTTACAGATTTGTGATAAACAAGTAAGTAGGCTGGCTGTTGTACTTTCTTGTATAATAATAGGTTTGCTATTCAGTGTTATTTTTAGGCATGAGCTTGCATTAACAAGGTACTGAATCCCCTACCGAAGACCAAAGAACCCGTGGTTGTACCTAAGCAAGGGCAATAATTTAGGTCGGTGAGGTATCTTTGACTAGGCTAAAGTACACTATTTTTTAAATTGCTAGTGTAGCATCTTTTATTCAGAAAGTGTTCAAAATTAACATAACAGATTGAGATATATAAATAAGTCGTTTTCTGTTATAAATCACATTCTTCAATGCCTCAATTACTAATTTGTCTATTTGCGGATGACTCAATGTGTCAAAAGCTGGATACAGTTTGATCAGATGAAAATGGATGAAGGAAAAAAAATGCCAGTTGACGTCTGCTTCTATTAAACATAAGAACGTTAACAACGGTTTCTATTTTAGTGGGATGCTCCCTTTTTGAGTTGAGGAATCAAACGTTGATTGACGTCTGCATACACACGTCGGTAAAATTTCTGGCTTACAGTAAACCTTTAAACTAGCTGGATATAACCACATTTAAACTCTAGTATAGTGAAAAACAGGGCCCCCGTGACCATTTTCCGGGGACCAAGGTTTCTCTGCTGATTCGGCATCACTAGGGTATAAATAAAAAAATGAGCGGGGGTGAGCCTCCTGAAAAAGGGCGGAACATGTTTTT